GTGAGGGGCTTTGAGGCTAAATCTATGAAGAATGATTAATGGAACTGGGTATGTTTAATCTAAAGAAGAGAAGGCTAAGGGGAGACATGATAGCAGTCCATTTGAAGAGGGTATGGATTTATTCTTCATAGCACCCACAGGTAGCATAAGAATCAATGAGTGGAAGCTTTATAGAGGGAGATCCAAACTCAAAGTAAGGAACTTCCTGACTGTATGAGCTGTTAAGCAGAGGAACAATCTGCCTTCTGAAGTCATGACTGCACCATCACCAGAGGTTTACAAGTAAAAGTTAGTCATTGTCTGGGATGGTATGAGGATTCCTACCTTGGGCAGGAGGCTGAACTAGAAGACCTTCAAAGTCTCTTTCAGGCCTATAATTCTATGAACCAGTTTATCCAGATGATCTATTATTTCCACTTCTATTTGTAACCTGTAGATCCAGCTATATAACTTGATTCTAGCTCTTTTTGTAAACAAATCATATAGAAGGAAGGAGATTGAAATAGATTCTACATGTTTTGAATTGTGTATAGCCTTATAAAACAACTAAAGCCATGAAAAGTATCTTTAATTGTGTTGCAAATTGCCACAGGAAAAGCTGGTTTTGAAGGGTGGCACAAACATTTCAGAAAAAAAAATCAACATAAGTATACTGTGTGGGTTAGAGAATATAATACATTCTGTATTCCAAATTGTATCTTCTTACATGTCCATGACACAAATGCTGTTTCCCTTTATTTTCATTTTAGTACTTACCAAAGTCAGTTGCATAACTAAAAATCAATCCAATGGTATAATTTCAAGTTTTTTCCCCCATCTGGTCAGTGAATTGCTCACTGCTGAAATGATCATCAGGAATGATGAACAAAAGGACTTCTGGGGGAAGAAATGGCAGACTGAAAACAGTTCTGTGAAAAGCAGAGCCAACTACTGTGGTGAAGAATGAAGAGCCGCTGAGTAGACCAGCTCTTTGGAACCTCTGCATGACAAGGAGAGGGTGGGAGATCACCCACATGTGCTCCCAACAGTTGCTCCTCATGAGAAGACCACAAGGCAGTGATCCCTGGTGGTCTTGAGCACTGGGAGACAATGGGAATAATCATCCTGCTCACAACTGTGGTCGGTGCCCTTTAAAGGACACTAAGTCTTAGATTTTACTATTGTAATTAAAATATTTAATTTAAAAAATTCCCCTCTCATCCCTATGGGTGGTATGTGTCTTCCTCAATCTTGGGTCCTCTACCAGAGGCCTGGGAGTTTGAAGGTTCTGCGCAGTATCTTAGCTGTTCCTAGCATTGCGCTCTTCTGGACAGAGAGCTCTGATGTTGTTCCTGGGATCTGTTGGAGCCACTCTCTCAGCATAGGAGTCCAGTCCTGAGTGCTCCTACCACCACTGGGACTACTTTAGCCTTTACTTTCCACATCCTCTCTAGTTCTTCTGTCAGGCCCCGGTACTTCTCTAGCTTCTCATACTCCTTCTTCCTGATGTTGCTATCACTTGGCACTGCTACATCTATCACCACTGCTGTCTCCTGGTCCTTGTCTACTCCCATGATGTCTGGTTGATTGGCCAGCACCTGCCTGTCTGTCTTGATCTGGAAGTCCCACATGATCTCAGTCCTGTCATTCTCCACGACCTTCTGTGGCCAGCTCACTATACCAGCAGGGTATCTGATGACTGGCGGGGCATATGTGTTGATGGTTCTTGCCATTCAGCTGGCTCTTCAGGACCTGTCTTATCCTTTGGTGGTACTTGGATGTTGCTGTCTTCCTT